TTTATTTTTTTATTTTATTAATTAATCAATAAATCCTAAGGGTTTATTATTATTATGTACCTGTTATATTGATCGCCATTAGAAATTCTCTAAATATAATGGCAAAAAAAAAAGAAACAAAAGTGTTAATTGTTATTCTATAAAAATAGAGATTTAATAATATCCTCAAGGCAAATAATGAACAAAAGCATTCAATATAGAATAGATTTTATATATTATAATAGAAAAATATAATCATATTCTTACTTAAAATCAATTTTTCCTGAATTATCTGCATCAAATGTACGAAATATATGTGTACAAAATGATTCAGCTTGTCCATTGGGAAAAAATTGACGATAGACTTGAATGAATTTTTTTCTTGTTAATTCACCATTGGGACAATCGAGCTAAAAAACAAGAAAACAAAAAGAAATTTTTCATTCTTATATTAATACATTAACATAAAATCAAATGTTAAAAATTATATTTCGCCTATTGATAATTACTTATATATATTTATTTTCTACAAAGTAATTTATTTTTTTCTTATTATTAGGAAAGCTTATTTGTATTCTCTATTACAAGACATGACCTTTTCTGCTTCATTGTCCATCTAGAAGAAGAAGAAGAAGAAGAAAAAAACAACAGTAAACATCTCATATTTCATGATATACATTAAATTAAAAGAAAAAAAATCACTACCTGCAAATTATTCTATATAATTATAAACTTGACAAGATAGTTTACTTTTACTGTTTATTATAATATTATAAAATTTATCTTAACTATAATTATATAAGAAAAAAAAATAATAAACAAGGTGCTTTCACCGGAAACATCTTTCAAATGAAGTAGCAAAAACCTGATGAAATTTCTCTAATCATAAACTTCTATGCAATGTTTATTATAATTAATATAATTATGTTTATTCATAAGACAGTTAATTCTCTATTCTTTAGTGTTATGCTAAAGATAGTATTTTGAAAAATCTTTATTTGAATTTTAACATATGTTAATTATCTTCTAATATCTGATTATTCTCTCATATTCATATTAAATATCAATTTAAATCTTAACATCTTTTAAGATTAATATAATGAACATAAGTATCATGAATATATACATATATATATATTCATCATTTTTTTTCTCTTAACGATTAAAAAAAATATGGAAGTATTTGAATATCTTATTGTTTCCTTAATAGAAGAACTAAGATTATGATTAGTTATAAAAAAAAATAAGAAGTGCATCGATCAAATGAAAATGTGATTGTAAATTTAAATATATTAATCGGTCTTCATTCTTTTACGATGACATTTCCTTCTTTTCCTATGTATATATATTAGACTCATTTAGAAACTCTAAGCAACCGACGTGATCAACGAACGAGAGACATCCTGAAAAGGGAATATCTCAGCAATAACAACAACAACAAAAAAAAAGAAATCAGCTATTCTAATCATTCAGTTCTATTATCATGAGAAATCCTATAAGATAAAATAAAACATCTATGATCATATTTAAAACAAAAAAGAAATAATGATTTATGTTTGATATTTCCTCTTATAATTTAAATGCAATATATATGATTGTTATGATTTTTTTAATTTAAAAAAAAACAAAAAATCATATGTCAATAAGAGTCAAAATCAAATTGATTCATATTCTTTCTTATTAGAGAGAAATGCATCATATAAAAGAAAAAAAAAAAAAAAGAGAATAAACATGAGAAATTTTTGAACATTAGTCAATTGCTATTTTTTTTATTCCCTATAGGAAAAAAAGAAACTATTTTATACTACTGACGAACCATATGATTATTTGAATAATTAAAAAGAAACTTCTTTTATTAGAATATTCTAATTTTTGTTCTTATAAGAAAATACTTACAATAAAACCTTCATACCATTCCATAATTTGATCTTTTGTAAATTCAGTATTTTCTTGAAGAAATTCTAAGTCTGCTTTGGTTAATTTCTTTTTAGATGGTATACAACCCATTATGTTTTATTTGATTGATAATAAATAAAGAACATTATTCAATTCAAAAAATATTGATTATAAATTGAGGTTTTTGTTTGATAATATTTTCAAATTGTTCTATTTTGAAAAAAATGCAAAAAAAAAGAAAAAAAGAAAATGAAACAAACCAATCGACAGGTTTTTTTCTTGTTCTCGGAGTTTTTTCTTTTTGGTAATCTGTCTATCGATAGATGTTATGATGATTTTCTCTCTTTCGCTATTTCCTCCTTGGCTTCTCTCTCTCTCTCTTTTACAGATAGCGAAAAAAGAAAAAAAAGAAAAACTATGTAGCCGAAACAATATGGAGGTTGTAACGGACGGATGAATGAATTTCTCTCAATAACATTCATAATTCAATTGGCAAATACATATATTAGTCGTTGTTGTCATCATCATCCGTTCAGTTCACATTGCTTTTTCTTTTTAATGATGCTACAAGCGAACGACAATGTTTCAACGATCTATACTATAGAAATAAGACGTATACTTGATATGATTAACAAAGTTCACTAATATTCAGAATAAAATGAAGTTCTTTTCTTTTTTTTTTTTTTTGTCAATATAACTTATTGATCAAAACTAATTCTTTTCTTTATTCAGAATACAAAAAAAAAGAAAAACGACAGTAGATATAATTTATATTGACATTTAAAATATTATTCGATTTTTTTTATAGTTAATAATGGTTTAATTCTAGTGGACTTTGATATAATTAATAAACTATCAATAAAAGAAAAAAAAAACGAATATTTTATTCAAGTAACAATCATATAGATAATCTTATCATCTATACAATTAAAATATAAATTAAGTAGTCAATAAGATATTTTATATATTTATTGTCATTATTAAAAGCATCTTAATAACAATTGAATAATACAATAAAATATTCATCTATTTTGATTATTTTATATTGTAATCTATTAAGATAAATATCACGTTTCTAATTATATGATTGATAAAGACAATATGATATTTAAAAACAAAATATGGCCTTCAACTCAAAACACAACACTTTTATTAATATGGTCATCTATTATTAATAAGTGAGAAATAGATTAAATTGTCGGCTATTTGCTAGATTTATTTCTCGAATTAAATTGAACTAGAAATTGGACTTTTTCATGATTAAAAAAAAAAAAACATTTTTCTTAAATAAGTATATACCATTAGATTTTATACCCAAAAAAAAAATATTGGATCCTATAAAACTATCACTTACTCATAAGGAAATTATTAGAACTGATACTCATCATTTCAACTCATATTGAATCTATAAAGAGTTCGGAATTAATTAGAAAAATCCTAAAAGAGTTAGTATTCATGCATTTCTAGAATCGAATTATGAACGTCTTATTGAATTTTTTATTTAGCTTTAGATATTGATCGAAAATTTAAATAATGAAATTTTCAAGTAAATTCAATTTTTGTGATAAATGATCGTATTTTGAAAATTCAATATCTCGACAAAAGAAACATTCGTTTCGGATGAAAAATTTTCAAAACTATTCGATCTATTTATAGCGGTACGGTTCTTTTTAAAATTCTTCTCTAGTCTTACTAAGACAATTTATCCACTATTCAAATAGACTTTGAAAATCTACAATAGGATTCATGAGATTGGTCTCCGATTCGATTAAAAACCAATTAACAAATATGTCTGAAACTTCTTGACAGATGTGTACATCTCATGAATATTTTACACTAACAATCACAAGAAAAAAAATTATTTGAATTTAATCTATAAGAATAAAAGCTGGTTTTGTTTTGGCATTCAATATTTTTTAGCATACAAAAGAACTATACATGCTTGTATAGAAAAGAATATATCAATATATAACATAAACAACAAATTCTTTCATCTTTTAGCATTAGAATCGAACTTTTTTGTTAATAGTTTGAATTTTTAAAATAGAACTATTTATATATGAATATATATTTTGTTTTTGATTACGACAATCTATTTATTGGTTTGTAAAAAAAAAATAAAAAATTAATTAAAAAATTCGATATATTTAAAAACAAAAGTTTTGAACTGAAAATACTTTTAGAAAAGTATATTTGTTGAAAATCATATAAATTTTGATGATTTAAAGATCTATTTTAATTTATTTAAATTCTTGAATTTATTATCTTTTAATAATGTGTTATGACTTTTCTATATATAACAGATTAATTCTCACATTAAACTAATTTGTTCTCTATTTTTACAATTTCAAAAAAAAACGAACTAGTTGATCCAACATATTTTTTTGACTAAGAAAATAATCTTTACATTTTTCATATTATTGCAAAACTTTATAATATATTTAATGTTGAATAGACACACTAAATCAAACTGTTATAGTTCGACTGCATTCATGTCGTTTTCAGTCATTTATTCAAAATAAATATATATGTTTCTCTTGATAAGATCCAAGCAAAAAAAAAGTAGTTAATGCAATCCCTAAGAGAATAAAATGTGACATACAACATGGTTGCTAATCACAAGGTGATAGTTTTATTTCATCTATTTTGAGATATACTTTCTCACCATCATTTTCATTTAATTCTTTACAAATGTCAAGAACGAAATAGTTCATACAGTATAACGTAGAATTATTGTTCTATGACCTTTGATTGTATATCAAAAATATCTTTTATGATTTGTAATACGTAGGAAGTGGGAGGGACAGTATTGGCTAAGGATGTTTGTCATGTTTTTGAGCAAATTGTAAAGTATAAATTTATACTTCAACATCAATTCTTCTATATCGTGTTTTATAAAAGATTCAATCATGAATAGATTATACTTTATTGTAACTAAGATAATACTTTGATATATTAAAATAATATTTTATTAATATGAAGAAAGCACAAATCAATTTATATTTGAAAACTGCTAATAACATATGTTTACAATGTTTGTGTAATATATCTATCACGTATTGAGAGAATACTTAAAGATTCATTTATTAGTGACACACTCGTTATATATATATATGTCTTCATGATTATTTATTTTTATTGAAAATATATTGAGCCCAATTAGAATCAGAAGGAATTTGTGGTTCATGCCATTGAAATGGAATCATATTATCTAAAGAACTTATATGAGTACTTGAATATTGATCCCATATTTGTCGAATTTGTACTAAATTATGTACATTTTGATGAGCTTGTAAAAAATATTTTGTATCAGAATTAATTGATTCATAAAATGATTGATTATTATTATTAAAAAGATAATTATATAATTCAATAGAAGATGATTGTGTTTGTTTTTCTAATTCATTTTTATATTCATATAATTTATTCGTACATATATTTTCAATTTCAATTAATTCATTATTTGTATTATTTGATATTGTTATAGTATTATTAATATTTGATTGTTTTCGTTTTTCATATATTTGTTTTAATTGTTTAATTGTTTGTAATATAAAATTAATATCTTGAATTTTTTCTATTAAAGATTTATTATTTATTAATTGTTCTTTAATAATATTAATTTGATTAGAAATAGATATATTTTTTTCTTTTTGACGACGTATACGTAAACGTTTTAATTTTCGTTGTTTTATTTGTTTTTGTATATTTTTAATATGATTATAATCATATATAAAAGAATTTGATTGTTCAATTTGATTTTTTAATTCAAATAATATTTTATAATTAAAATTTTTTAAAGCATTTTTATATTGTTGAAGAAGATAAGCATGTTGAATTAATTTTTGACGATAATTAGATAATGTTATTTGATTAGATGATAATTGTTTTTGATTTTGTTTCATTTTAATCCAATTTTTTAACCATTCATGATCAATTTTTGATTGTTCAAATATTTTTAAACCATCATTTATTATTGATTCACGAGACGATAATGATGAATAATTTGAAAAAAATTCATAATAAGGTTGCATTATATTTATTAAGATTAATAATCTACAATAATTGATTTATCACAACAAAACATAAAAATATAAACATATCCCAATTGAACAAGCGTTGCAAAACAAAAAAAACGCCGTTTTTGTTTTTTCGACTTTTGTCTGACTGAGATGAAGTTCTAATCTTTAAGAATTTTATTCTTGTTGAAAACAATTTTCTATACTAGAATATAAATATAATCTATAAAGTATGCATTCTCGTTATCCTATATATTGAATATCAGTATGAGTATAATGAGGTGATCTTTTTTTTGATCATAATCGATATATAGGACTATGAGAACCAAAAATATTAAAGTTCATGAGACTAAATGGTATAAATTCTAGATTTCAGAATCTCATATATAGGATGATGCTTGATAATATGTATTTTATATGTAGTAGAAGACAACATATGGAGATATAGCCTGTGACATATGAATATTGTTGAATGCAATTGAACTGATAACTTGAAAATACGAATATGATCTATTTATCCATAGATTAGCTAAAATAAATGATAAAATTATTATGAATAGTAGAAATTCGTTTGAAACTTCGAATATAGATTTAAACGATACGATTTTATCTCTGATATTCACTCATGAATATTTATATGTGATATATTAAGAAATTGAATTATATTTAAAAATGAAGAGTAAGAAATAAATGAATCTATTATTTGTTATTCTACATATTGAATTATCTATTATTTTAACATATCTTTAGTCTTATTTCGTATTTCGGTTTTCCCTATTGAAGAGAAAAGATAATAAATTTGCTCGTTTATCTATTTATTGATAAAAATATTTTAACAAGAAAAATATAAGAGAAATATGGCAACTATGATTGATTTGAGAAAGAGAGAATATTAGATCCTATATTGAGTATTATCTTTCGAAATTTTTAAGATCAACAATTAAAAATAGATTAATATAAACTTATAACTTTCCTATAATTAATAATAATAAATCTCAAGCAGAATTATTCAGTAAATCTTTTTGGTCAGATAATGATGGATCTGATAAACAAGGTTGAAAATGATTATTTCCATGCATAGTTGTTATTAAATCATCTATATCAGATGTATATCCAATTAAATCCGTTCCAAAATATCGATCACCAAAATTACCCAAACCAGGACATATAAAACCAGTATATTGATCAAGTTCAGTATCGCATGCTGTTGTTACTATTTTTACTTTTGGAAATGCATAAGCTACTGTTTGTACTCCTATATAAATTAATTAATTAAATCATTTAAAAAAAAAAAAAAATCTCTTAACATAATTCCTATGGGATTAATATATGAAACATGATATAACTATTCTTGCTGATCATAGAGTGACTACTGCTTCAGGGCTATCGATCTTAGGACATAATTTCATCAATATTCTTTTTTCAAAAATACAATAAGAAAATAGTTCATGTATTTATAATAAATACGTTATTCACGTGAGTTGATGCAAAAAATTTTAACATCAACATATTTTTTTTTTAATATAATCTTAAGTAGCTAGCTCAAATTCAGAATATGATTTTTAATAATACCGAACATGATAGTTTTCAAGTTACAAAAGATTTTATCGGAACAATTTTTTTTTTGTGTTTACAATGCTATTATAACGAACATTAAATATTAAACATAATGAGGGATTACAACATTTTCTACGACAATCTCTTAAGCAGTCATATGTATAACAAAAAAAAAACAAACATCCGTTTACGATTTTTTGTGACACTTGTAAATTTTAGCTTTGATAAAATCTTCTATAACCTGAAAACTACTAAGTCCCTTTTTTTTTTTATAAGATTTGTCGTTATAATTCACTTATGAAATCTTAATGTAAGAAAACTCTATCGGCTATTAAAATCATTATCGAAATTTAAGCTAGGTGCTTAGCATTATATAAAAAAAAAGTTGTTTTTTTTGTTAAATTTTACTTTCGGTTACTTTGATAGTTCTAATAAAATTTTCTAATGAGAATCAAATAGTTTTACTCCGAAGATATAAGATACTTTTTTTTTGTATATAGTGGCTAGTCCATTCTAGATATTGCCTCAAATGACTAGAGCCCATCGGGTTTCAGACTAACTTAATCGTATATTAACTAACGGGGTCGACAAGCTCAGCTCAGTTCCACTCAGAGGAACTGTTCGAACAGCTCTTTTGAGCTGAGCTGAACTGGTTCGTTTGAGCTGTGAGCTATGTTCCCAAAACAGAACACTTTTGTTCCGTTTTCGGGAAATAATTCCCATAACAGAACAAAAGTGTTCTGTTTTGGGAACACAGCTCACAGCTCAAACGAACCGGTTCACCAGTTCAGCTCAGCTCAAAAGAGCTGTGCTTGTCAACCCCCAATATTAACAATGTCTGTCATAGTCTGTGATAAGAAGACATCCGAAGTTTTATTCCTATACTTCAATAGTCTTTTTACATTGTATTTTTAAAAAAATTAATATATCAACAAACCTTGTTTTGATACTAATAATGAAAGTAGAGCAATTTTATCTTCGGGAACATTATGATCTAATAAAACTCGTATAGCCATTATTGCAGCTGCGCCAGTTGCTATTAAAAACAAAAACAAAAAAAAATTTTTTAATAATATAATACAATACAAAAATTCTAATATACCAATAGTAGCATCAAGAATCAATACATAAGCATTAGCAATATCACGAGGTAATCGAAGAAAATGAAGCTAATTATTAAAAAAAAATCTTCATTTCGAAAAACAAAAAAAAATAATTTTTTTTTGACATTTACTTCTGGTTCACCAGTAGATTGATTTGTTTGAATTAATATTTTACCAATTTTAGCATCTTTATGTACTTCAATTAATGCAGGTTCTAAACATTCACCAGCTCGAACTATAGATACACCACAAATCTATAAAATATTCAAATAATAAATTTTTCCAATGGTTAAAAATTTTTTTTTTAAATTTACTTCAGCGTATAGATGTTTCTTTCCTTGATATAAAAGATTTTCTGGTGTTTCAACAGTAACATCCTAAAATAGGATAAAAGAAAAAAAAAGGTTATTTAGATAAAAATTTTTGTTTTTTAATTACTTCAAATGGTAATAAAGATAAAGCATATTCAATTAATATTCTCATAAGACGTTTTGAATAAAAAATAAATTCATCACGATCAGTATCTTTATTTCTTAAAAATAAACAAATCGACATAAGAAAATAAATAATTATTTGAATTACCTAATAATTGTATGAAGATATTTTATTTGTGCTGTTTGTTCAATAATATAAAATGTTTCAGGCATTGGTAAAGCACACATAAATTCAAGTCTATGAACAAGTTCACCTCGAACTTTTACACCACACTAATAGAATAATTAATATAGAAAATGAAAAAAAAAAAATCATAAGAATGATGTTTCTTTTTTTTTTTTTCTATTACTTTTTGAAGTTCTCGATTGATATGTTGTACAATTAAATCAATAGCTATTTGATTTTCACCACCTATCAAAAAAAAGTAGATTTTTAATTACATACAAAAAATAAATATAATCGATTAATACTACAAATTCAAAGGATAAACTTATTCATAGAGGTAGATATTGATTATGATACTAATATAGTCATTTCATAGTGGAATTAACTCATAAATAAAACCATTTTTTTTATCTGTTTGTCTTTATATTCATTCTGAATAAAAGTTTTTTCGCTACATCGAATTTTTACTCATCATAAAGTATAAAGATATTGAAATCTCGTACGTCTAAGTTTCAATATGAATATTTGAAAATAGTTTATCATTTTACTCACCTCTTGGAACAATTATATCAGCATAAGTCATTGTTGGTGCAATATAATGATCATAAGAAGGTTTAACATAACGTGTATATTGTTGTATAACACCTTCAATATCACGTCCACGTTCTGCAATATCTCGTTCAAGTCTACGTGCAAGACGAATATCAGCATCAGTATCAACAAATATTTTCATATCAAGAATCTGTTTTTTTTGTTAATATATAGAAAATAATAGAAGTTCATTTATATATAATCGAAAAAAGAAATAAATTACTTACGTCACGAATATCTTTTCTAAAAAATGACATTATGCCTTCAAATATAACAACATTAGCACCATATAATATTTTCTATAGATATTTTAAAATAAATTAATGAAATAATATTTTATTTCGTTTTTAATTTACTGTATATGGTTCACGAGAATGAGTAGTAAAATTATATAAAGGAATTTCAACCTAATCAAAAAAAAAAATATAAAGAAATATGTGTACACAGTATAAAATGCTGACAATTCGAACTTTTCTTTGTCATAGTTCGATAGGATTCGTCGAATAATTTTAAAAAAAAATTTTTTTTTTTGACATATTCAGGTGAAATTTTAGGACAATTAAATTCAAAAAAAACAAAACCATAAAAGTCTATAAAAATTGAAATACGTCAAACGTATTAAATCTTGGTAGTTCTTATATTGTTTCGAAATTTTTAGATTTTTGCTCTTCATATAGTTAGAAGAATTCCAATTGAATATCATATTCAAAATTAGTGCTAAGATCTATATCGAATAATATACTCAATACTAAAAATTAATTTTTATGAAATTTTGACTATAGAGAGAAATTGCAGGTCAAATTATTCGAAAATAACAGTAAAAAAGTATAAAAATCGAAAGATGATTATAAGTTTTTCGATGCTTCTTTACTACAAAAGGACTTTCTCTATCTAATAGTTGAAGACTGCAAGCCCTGGATAGATTAGCACCAGGGAAGATAACAGCTTGAATATACATTATACTAAATAAATAAGAGTTTAAGTAGATTTTAATTATTGTAAAAATTTTCTATTACTATTTAATTTTAATTTTTTAATAACAAATGATGCTTTATTTTCAAGATAGATTCATATTTTATATACACACAATCTCGTATTCAATAAACATGAATAGCAAAGCTACAAGGCTTGAAAACTCTACTTCGCCATGAATTCTTTTGTTTTGGTAAAACAAATCAAAATTTTTCTTTTTAGAATGCCGCATGTTTTTTTTTGACGCAAGTAGCAATCTTTTTCCTAATCAAGACCGCTGTTATAAAAGACATTGAATGTATTTAATCTAAGTGATATTCAAGCATTCGTCTTCTCTTATTGAGATCGTCTACTGCATACTGATGTTATTTATTAGCATGTAAACGGTATGCAGTAAAATTTGATATACTTCCTACATCATTAGATAGGCGAAGTTTTTCTTTGCAACTGCAGGAATCACCTTCCTATGTACTTTTCATATTTATAGACTTCTCAGTTTTTCTGTCCTAAATTTGAAAAAGATCAAATAAAATATTGTTATAGGTAAATTGATGATCTTTATTAAAAGCATGGCAAAAACAAAAAAAAAGTTTTTCTCAAGTTATTTGTACACTTACTTGTTTGCCGATTTTAAGATTTTTTAATGTTTCAATAAGTAGATCAAAATCAAAAGCATCTGGATGATCAAAATTATAATTATTCATTTTTGCTTGTTCATGTTGTTCATCAGTTAAAACCTTTAATTAAAAATATTTATTTAATATAATAATATATATATATATTTTCAATTAAAAAGAAAAATTAATTTTACTTTATAAAATGAATCCATACTTAAAAGAGTAACCCAAGGTATATTTAAGTTTTCAACAATATGTTGTGCTACTGTTGTTTTACCACTTGCACTTCCACCACAAATACCAATAACAAATGCTTCTTTTATTTCACCACTTGCATCATACCATGCTGGACGACCTTTTCAAAGTTTATTTTTATTTTTTATTTAATTTAAAAAAAATAAAATAAATACCTGCTGTATAAATTGTATTTCGACCACGAACTTTTACACGTTCATCAATTGAACGACTTGATGTACGTAAACGTCGTCGATTTACTTTGGCTGGTGATGATATTGATCGAGATAGTGTTGATGAATTTTCATTTAAATTAATTTCATTTGTTGAATGAAAAGTTACTTGACGTTTATATCCTAAGTGTGATGAAGATTCATTTTCATTTGATTCATCATTATTTTCTACATCACTAAAATTATGAGAACAAAAAAAAAACAAAGAACTTTAATCGAATGGTTTAATGCATTGTTTAGCTTGAGTATTGAAGTTCGAATCTTTGCTGTTGAGTTTTTCATAAACTTTGTAAAAAAAACAAAAAATTTTCAATTTCACAGAGAATATCTATGAACAGCAAAAATGAAGAGTACCGATATTTTAGGCGGATGTTATTCTATATGATATCCGATTAGTCTGTCGGTTACAAAATAGATTAGACTTTTTTTTAAAGTTTTTTACATGAATTTTATTTTTATACAACTATTTTTTTGAAAATAAAAAAGAACAACATCATACAGAAATGATGTCCTTATAGAAGTCAATAATAATACATTTCATACTATTAGGTAATTACTTAGAACATAGTAGTAGATGTTTTGAATTCTTTAAAGGAAGTTTTTATGTATACGTTATTAAAAAATAATGCTATACATTTTTATAATTATTCTTCAATTAATATCATAATAATCAAATTTTCGATAAAATGTTTTTAGTAATGATTTCATATTATCTTCGATATGTATTCTCTAAGGGAATAGGATATACCAAATGTAATAATAGTAGTACAAAAAAAAAACAAATAGCTCATACATTTTCTTCAATTTTTTATCGATTCTCATGAAACTATTTAGATCATCTTTCAAGTATTCTAAAAGAAGAAATTTCATCATCACAAACAGAAATATAATTCATAATAAATAATTTTTACTTGAATATTAAATATACATCATAGTATCTAAGTTTAAATTAACTTTCTTGTGAATACACTAATAAACTATAGATACAAACATAACAGAAAAATATACGTATCAAAAAAAAATCTGAACTAATTTAACCATTTCATAACAAATCAGAGATAATATTATAATAGCATAGTTAAATTTAGAAACTATTTTTGATGTTTTTTTTTTGTCGTTCTCATCTAAAATTTGTGGTTACTGTGTACTCTGTAATCGTTATTTTATCTAAGAATAGATATTTGAATATTATTATGGATTAACAAGCTCATATTTCTTCTGCTCATTATAGCATGACATGATGTGAATATATGAATCTTCTCTTCGATAATATTCATACTCAAATTCTATTAATAGTTTTTCTCTAAAGTTTTCAAAATGTTTGAACAAGTTAGAAGTTTTCATTCTTACAATTATAAATTTAGATTAGGTAGATCTTCTCTTCTTCATATTCATTTTATTTTAATATCTTGCCATCTATAAATATATTCAAATATAGAAAAATTCATGTCGGTAGAACAAAAACAAAAAAATGAAATATAGGAAAAAATTTATTAAGTGTTTTACTTAACTCATTTTCTGAATCTGGCAACATGTAATTATTTGATTTAATAAAATACAATTCGAGCAATTTTAAATTATTGCATTGTATTGTAAATAAGTTTTAGAAATATTTTTGAATAAAAATTGTTTGATAAATTGATACAATCGAATATGAGAAGACGATTATTTTGAAACTTTTAATAAATATAAATACTTGATAAACTTTTTTTTTTCGGTACTTGTTATTTGTTCTATTGCTACTAGTTTTTATATACTATAGTATCTATTGACGAATAGACAATAAAGAAGACGAGAAGAAAAAAAAAAAAAGAAGAGAGACCGAGAACATTAAGAAGAGAATCAACACATTGACGACGTCACATATCATAAAAAACAACTGTTATCGAAATTTTATTATTATGATATAGGACGTTGTTTTTACTATCAAACGATATAGAGAGAAGAATTTTCTTTTAAGGAATCAAAATATCGTTTGCCTACTATGTTTGGTATGTCTTAAAGATGTATACTAATCGTTTGTTTTGCTTTATAGATAAATCTAAATAGAATTTTCAATATCAAAGTCAAATACTTCTGGTTTTTTTTTCAACTTTACACTAGATTTATTAAAAACATATTTTTGATTCTATACTTTTTTTTTTTACTTGAATAAATTAGTGGACGTTTTTGAATATAAATGTCATGTTTGAATTTAACATTTTTTAAGGTTAAATAGCAAAACTAAGCTTTGTTTTCTTTTTCTTCATAGCTTTAATTGATAAATATTTTCAGTAAACGATGTCGACAGTTTCATAAATATTAATTAAGGGTAAAAGTAAAGATTTATTATTCTATTCAACAGTTCTTGTCAAGTTGAGTTCAAATACATTTTTATTATTAAAAAAAAAGACATGACAGAATTGAACAAATCCAATGAGTATAAACCTGAATAAATTCCCATATTTTCTCTCTTTCCAATTCGACAAAAAAAACCATCGGAAATAGACAATGTTAGACGGAAATTAATCAACACTGTTATTCCTACTTTGAAAAATTGTTATGACATAAACAACTTGATGTTTCTAATGAATATTTTATTATTGCATTGCTGTTGATTTCTGTTCATTATTTTCATATGAAATAGTTAGATAAATTAATCAACTGTATGTTAAGGTTTTTCTTTTTTCTAATCCCCTACGTAGGAATTACAAAATTTCATCATGGCAGAATATTAAGCAAGTGAGAAAAATGCAATTATTAGCATGAGCATATATATATATATACTTTTTACTAACAATAATAAAAAAAAAAGAAAAAAGTATTAAATTAAATTTAAAACTTATCGTTTAGATATAATTAAAAAATAAATTGAAAAGAAAAATACTTTCAATCAAAAACAAAAAACGTACCTGTTCGAAGTACCTGAATGTCGTCGATAGCTATTCATTTGAGAAATAAACTATCTACGATTAAAATAAATCTACCTAACACATATATATTTGTATTAGTTGAAATATAAATGTATACGCAAGATTCTTTTTTTTTTTGTTTTATTTCTCTTCTTATGTTTATAGAAAACAAAACAATGATGGTATGACAAACACAAAAAAAAAAAATTTTGTTTTCTCTTTGTATTTGTTGTTATTGACTTTGATATTCTTATTCTCTAATAAAGTCGTTGTGGTTTACCCATTGTTGATTTAACATAGAGTGCTCGTACATTTTGCCAATTTTTTTTAAGTAATGAAACAAGAAAATTAACAGATAAATTAATATTTGCTGCTAATTCATCAACAGACATATTAACATTACCAATAGCAACAGCTAAACATATTGTTTTTTTTGCTTGAAATTTAATTGTTGATTTTATTTCTTCAATTTTTTGTACTAATGAATCACTATGTGTAATAGCTGTTGGAAATTTACCAGCTTTATTTAAACCAGGTCCTTAATAAAAAACAAAAAAAAAAATCATCTTTGAAAAAAAAAACATATATTTTACCAAGAATACGTGGAATTTGTCGTATAACAACATCCG